AGCGCCCACCTGTCTCGGATTCCTTCATATCAGAAGCGCACCCCACCGGAGATCGCAAACGTCGGGGGGGGGCTGTTGACATACTCACATCAATGGAGCAGCCCATGAGGGACCCCCTCTCCAGGGCTTTCAAGATGATGTGGAAGAGGTCGCTGGGGGGCTTCCGGAGGTCATACCACTCCGTCACGCCGCCGGTGAAGTCTTCAAACCCTTCCGAGGTGCTGCCTCCGGAGAGGGCCTCATAGCAGCCGTTCAGCCTAGGGCAGGGAGAAGAACGTGTTAGCGGCTGTGTCTACGAATCCCCAGGAAGGCGTTGATGGGGGAAAAGGGAGCCTGAAAGGGAAGGGACTGGCCAGCGTCACCTGGGGAGGGGTGGGAGAAACCCCTCGTACAACCCACGCCGGCCACTGAATGCATACCGCCAAGGGAAGGGGTGCTTACTTGGCGTACGCCTTCTCCAGCAGAGCGCTCCAAAATTCGTTGCCTTCTGCCGAATGCACAAACACCAGCTTGCCATCTTTGGTCGGGAGCAGGTCGTCCACGACCACGTCTATCCACTCGCCAAACTGCCAGATCTGCATCGGGGCCGGGTGGGGGGGACACAAAACTGACACGTTGAGAAAGTCAACCCAGGCATGGTGCGAACATCGTTGCCAAGTTACGCCGGACCACGGACTTCAGAGTCAAGCCAGATCTAGCGTGCTCTCTCCTGACTCCCATTGGCTCAACAGCCACGGAAGACATAACACTCAAAACCACGATTATTAGTGCCGGGCCACAGTTTCCCGTCTTGGTCTACAACAAATGCTCATGACTAGTCCATGGGTTCAGACATCACTCTTAACCATGATCGAAAAAGAACACCACGATTAGGTGTTTTTTGTCTGCACTGGGACATGGTTACAGGCAAAGCGATTTCTAGGAAATTGTGTACAGGAGAACCCTTGTATCCGCGGGATCATTATCCGCTGATTCACCGAACCGTGGTCTGAAATGATCAACAATATTAAAAGAGAAACCCAAGAAATATGTATTTCTAGTGTTGCCATTACTAGAACAGGCCACTAGAGAGAACCAGAGACTATGCTGTAGTGTTCACTCTTTTAATAGGAATAATAACCATGTATATAGGTATATAGGTCAATAGGGATGTGGTGGAGCTGCGGGTTAAAGCGCAGAAGCCTCTGTGCTGCAAGGTTGGAAGACCAGCAGTCGTAAGATCGAATCCACACGACGGAGGGAGCGCCCGTCGCTTGTCCCAGCTCCTGCCAACCTAGCCGTTCGAAAGCATGTAAAAAATGCGAGTCAATAAATAGGGACCACCTTGGTGGGAAGGTCACGGCATTCTGCGTCTAGTCGCGCTGGCCACGGGACCACGGAAACTGTCTACGGACAAACACTGGCTCTATGGCTTGGAGACGGAGATGAACACCGCGCCCTAGAGTCGGACACGACTGGACTCAATGTCAAGGGGAACCTTTACCTTTATGGTAGGGTCAAGCTGAGAGACAGGGAGAGAGACTGGCTCAAGGCTGCCCAGTGATTTTCAGGGGTCACTGAGAATCTGAATTTTCCAAGTCCGGCCCTCTAAGTGCTCTTATAGAATCACAGAATCTAAAAAACTTCATTTTATAGAAATAGGACTTTCCTTTTAATATTTTCAGATCATGGATAAGCAAATCTGTGGATACGGATCCCGTGGATAAGGGGATTCTACTGTATTTGTTTATCGACACGGAACAACCTGGCGAATAAGTCTTTTCTGGACTCTTACTAGGTGGGGTGGGGGGAGAGCCTGCGGGAACTATCACAATAAGGGTTTGAGCTTCGGTGTTTCCTGCCACTCACCTGCTTGCTTTATTTGTATCAGGGTGTGGCACACTTTAAAACTATGCACATCGATTAAATATAAAGTCCAATCACATTTAAAACGTTAATAGGATCAGATTCTTTTTGGACCAGAAGCGGGCTACTTCGGTGGCGCTATCTCCGGGATTTATGAGCTCCACTTTGCAGCCGGCTAATCCTTCCCATCCAGAAGCGTTGCACAGCCAACCCACCGGCCGAAAAATTATCTTTCTGGCTTGCCAACGCCTGCCAAGGACACTCTGCACATGTTCAGAGGTTGACTCCCTAACTCGTATTTGTGTTGGGCCTCTCGGTCATCCCCCCCCCAGCCCAGTCACCGTGCTAGAGCCAACGACACAAGGGAGGGTGGCGTCGGCTTTGGAGAAGACACCTCCCAGTCAGGAGGCGCCAAATGGTTTTCACCTCTGCCACCGACTGCCCTGGGCAGGGAGCGGCTGCCCCACCCCTTAGCCCTCCCAAGGCGCAGGGCTGAAATGCCAAGGTGGTTCCCCACCTGCGAGGGCAGATTCCAGAGATGGGAGGGCCATCGGGTGCGGCCGGCTTAAAATAACCCCGGCCATCACATCACGGCTTGCCAGAGGCTGCAAGGCGTACTGCAGGGTAGGGGGTGGGGTGGGGCTCGTCATAGTGCGAATGGGGATTTCTGCCCTTCGTGAACCGGGTTTGCGTGGAAGGAGGAAAGAAACAGTTCAAAGAAAGCAACGGCACATGTTGGAAAGCATTACAACCTGCATAGGATGCCTTTTAAGAGGTTTTTAGCCGGGAGGGACCTTCCTGGACTTGGGTGAATGCCAAGCAATTCCCCTTTCTCCCTCAGATTCATTTTCCCTGTCTTTTTTTTTTCTTTTTCTTTCCCCCCAGTCACAGTTCAGTTGAGAGTCTGTTACGGAGTATGAAGTCGGTTAGAGGGAGGTGTTCTGTCAGCTGTGTAACCCAGGCAGTTAGTCAACATGAAGCTAGTTAACCAGTTCAGCTCAGCCGCGTAACCAGTTAAAATTTAATCCACAATATATGTTTATGTATGTATGTATGTATGTATGTATACACACCAGGACTAAAGGTTTCGTTTTACTGACAGTTCTTCATATATATATATATATATATGAAGAACTGTCAGTAAAATGAAACCTTTAGTCTTTCTCAGTGTCTTACCAGTGTCTCTGGTGTGTGTGTATGTGTGTGTGTGTGTGTTCTATATATAGAACACACACACACACAAAGAACAGTGTAAGTAAAATGAAATCTTTCATTCTTTCTGATTACTGGTGTGTCTCTGCATGAATATATTGAGACAATATGTAAGAACAGCGTAAGTAAAATGAAATCTTTCTTTCTTTCTTATTACTGGTATCTCTGCATGAATATATTGAGACAATATGTGCCAGTTGAAGTAAGTTAACCAAATAAGGGGTTGATCTACTGAGAGGAGACTTGTAGCTGTAGGTCCCTGAACTTTGGTCCACTGCATAATCGAGGACGCCTTTTTAAGCTACACTCAATTAATTCCTCCTATGCACCTGGCCAATCAGACCCACCCAGCCATAAAGAAACAGGGCGTAGCGCTAACCAGAGGTGGGGTCCCATGTGCCTCACCCAGGATCTGTGTCCAAAAAATAAAAAAATTAAAATCATCTCTACAGAAGTCTCTTTTTTCCAAAAATGGCTGCAAACATTCCAGCGAGCCCTGCTGGGGAGCCAGCCACGTGGGGAGCCTCTGCCTCGTTTCCTGGACCAACTGTGTTTGCCGCGGGTGGGCAGGAGCGCGATTCTGCTGGGGAAACCAGGTGCGCAGCCCCGACACCTGTGCCGGTGTCAGCAACCGTGCCTCGCCAGGCAGTGGCTCACCTCGAAGTGGAAGATCCCAGCGTAGCCATTCTGGAAACTCTGCCCGTGGGGGACGACGCGGTGAAGAAGGGGATCGTTCAGGGTGAGCGAGGCGATGGCCGCCAGAAGCCAGCAATCGCCTGGAGAGGGAGGAAAAGAGACGAAGGAAGGATCAGGCAGGGAAAGGTGCTCTAATCTAGAGGGTTATGAGTTGACTTTCTTGCCAAGGTCTCGATCACGACGCAAAGCTTGCGTTTCATTATTCTGGGCTCCTCTTGGAGATCAGAATTCCCCACTTCCATGCTTTTATTTATTAGTGGCAATGGAGGCTCTTTTTCCTTCCTTAGAAGCCTAAGGCAGCAGACGGCTCATCTCCTCCTCCCTCTTGATCTTCACAACAGCCCTGAAAGGTAGGCGAGGCTCAGAAAAACAGAACGGACACCAAGCCACTCCTTGTTTTCTCATGGGTCAGTGACGAACATGCTCGAGTCTCGCTAGAGCGGTCGAAGCCCTGTACGGCTTGGATCCGGGCAACCTGAAGGACCGACTCTCCCCATATCAGCCTTCCTGGTGTTTCAGATCGTCAGAGGAGGCCCTCCTCCTCTCGGTCCCATTGCCAGCGCAGGGAGGGCGGATGGGGACACGAGACGGGGGCCTTCTCGGTGGTGGCTCCCGGGTTATGGAATGATCTCCCTCGGGAGATCAGGCTGGCGGCCGAACTTCCTTTTTTTTTATCCTTCCGCCCACAGCGGAAGACTCATATTTTTCAGGCAGGTTTTTAACAATCCTTATGGATTCCCCAAACGCCTTTTAAAAGCTAGGACAGTGTTTCATGCCTCTTTGCTTTTAATGGTTCGATTGTGTTCTAATTCACATCGGGTTTAAGTGTTTCTTAATGTTTAACTTATTCTGTTTTAAATTCTGATCTTTTTAATATCGTGAGCCACCTGGAGAAAAGTGGGCCATCAATAAAGCAAATAACAAATTCCGATCTTTTTAATATCGTGAGCCACCTGTAGAAAAGTGGGCCATCAATAAAGCAAATAAAATAAACCATTACTCCAGGCTGCTTCCCTTTCTAATAATTAACCATCACACACACCCAGAAAAACCACCCGGCCATCTGTTTCCTTATCCACCTTCTTACTCCGAACAAATCTGACACTCTTTGATTTCAGAAACTAAGCAGTATTGAGCGTTAGGCTTCCATTCAGATGATGAAATATCTAGGCCTACGCAGAATGAATAGATTTTACTGCTTTTATTGTTTTAATCTCATTATACCCAGGGAACACCTGGTTAATGGCCCAGAAAAGTCTGTGCGGCATGCATTCGATTCCCTGATTTGAAATGTTCTTGACCATTTGACATGTAACTTCGGTCCCCCCCACTCCCCCAGAAGCAATTTGTTATAGATGACTGTGTTATAATTACAGAGGGTATTCATATTCATAGACTAATAAAAATACCCCCATATATGAATACTCTCATCTCTAGTTACAATCACAATTCCCATCCTCCCCATGCTACATGGAGATGGTGGGTGCTGTAGTCTAATGGGCACAGAGGGCTCTCTGGATGGGTTTCTATCTCCAGTGGAAATGTTTACAATAAAGCTTAACACCAAACGCGTGAGATGTAACCGCACACTCAGGATGCTTAAAGCCAATGAATGTTTTACTCGTGATTTCTGTATTTCATTCCCGCCACCCCATTATGTCTGAAGAAGTGGACACAATCTACAAAAGCTGACATTAAAATACAGTGGTGCCTCGCATAACGAGCGCACCGTTTAACGACGAATCCGCATAGCGATCTATTTTGGGGGATCACTAATGCAATCGCATTGCGATGTTTTAATAGCCTAAACATCGCATTGCAATGATCGGTAAGCGTTTCGCTTACCGATCTTTGCATTGCAATGTTTGCGGAACAGCTGAAAGGCGGTTCCAAAATGGCTGCCGGCTGCCCAAAATGGCCGCCGCAACCGTTTCCGCACGATTTCCTCGCTTACCGAGGCAGCGAAAATGGCGGCACTATGGAGGATCTTTGCATAACGGTGAGTTTTCGCCCCATAAGAACGCATTAAACTTCGTTTCTATGGGGTTCCCCCCCCCCGGCATTGCGATGTTTCCGAATAGCGACGATTAATCCGGAACGGATTAATGTCGCTATGCGGGGCACCACTGTATAATCGCCTTTAAGGTGCCACATGGTTTTTTATATCTTGTTTTGTTTTGTTTTGTTTCTTTGGACTTTTGCTTGATAGGCTAACTCGGCTACCGCTTCAAAAACTATAATGTTTAGTTATTTCGCATTCGCCCTGCATTTCCCCAGGAGGTCAAGACAGTGCAGATGCTTTCTCCTCTGCTTTTTATTGTCCCAGCAACCCTGCATGAGAAGAATCAGACTTTAAAGACAGTTAACCCCCTGCATTGGAGGAAACGGACTTACCCAACGCTCCTTGGCAAACATCTGTGCGGGTGGCCCCATCGACAATGAAGAGCGGGTTACGGCACAGCTCCTGAAACACACAGCAGAGCGGGGCGCATTATCCTTCTAGTCTGCAGCTGCTGGATCAAGTTTTAGCATCCACTGCCGGAAACCTTAAAGGTGAGATGGATCAGTGGCCCAAACTCAGTCGATTCCTATGTTCCCAATTAAACCAGCCATTTAATTCACAACTAGGAGAGATGGGCTCTTAGTTTATTTCCCAAAGGTCTAATTTTCTACCTTGGGAAAGATCTCTAACTCTCTGGAGGGTCCCCGCTGGTCAATGTGGAGCGAATTCAGCTAGACAGATTTAGCTTTCTCACTCCTATTCAATGCCAGTGTTTTTAAAGAACGAAGAGGAGCATGCATCTTGCTTTGAATTAGCATAGGGCAACTCTCTCTCCTCCCTAATTCATTACTCATTCAAGCAGTGGGAAACCCTTAGCGGTCCAGATGTCGATGAACTACACCTTCCATTATCCCCGAACTCCACTGGACAGGGTGGCTAGCACTGGTGAGAACAGGAGTTCAACCTCTGACCTTGAAAGAGTAGAGAACCGGTCAAAAAAATCAAGCGAGTTTCAACAGGGAGGGAATGTAAAGTTCTCTATTTAGGCGGGGGGGGGGATGGACGGACCAGAAAGCACAAATATAGGAATGGACACCATTGGCTTGACATGTGAAAAGAATGGAAGGATTGCCGTCGATCGGAAGTTAAGCATGAGTCAGCAGGGTGACGCAGCAGCAAAAAAGGCGAATGTGATATTCAGCTGCATTGACAGACTCATTGAAGAGCAATATGGGAGGGGAAAAAAAACCCAATCCAGCAGTAGAAAAGGAAGACCAGCTGGAAGTCACCAAAGGATGGGGAGAACAGCCAGTGCACAGTGCAGCTTTGTAGCCATGAACGTCAACAAGATCATGAAACTGTGATCAACTCTTTGATACAGTAAATCCAGAGATGGACCATCCCAAACCGATGCTGCCCTTCCTCTGCTTCCAGAAAAACCTGCCGAGAGGAGAAACCCGCTGACCCCTTTTGTAACCATCCCCACCGGCCGGGGTGCTCAGGCAGTAAAGACGTTTCACCGAACGTTCCACCGTAATCTGCTCTTCTGCCACTCAAACCCATGAGATCCAGGGCCGCCCTTTCGATCGGCAGCCGATAACAAATCTGGACTACCTTCCACGTGACAACCATTCATCTATCTGAAGAGCCGCCGTGAGGACAATCCATTTTCACCAGGCCTAATCTCGTCAACTTCTGAAAGACGTCGTCAGCCTCGTTTTCTGGTCCTCTGAAACGCCATCATGATCAACCACCCCAAAGATGGAGAAAATATGATGGCCAGCCAGCCAACGAACTAGATCAGTGGTCCCCCCCCCATTTTGGGTCCCCAGATGTTCTTGGACTAAAACTCATGTTGTTGTTATTTAGTCGTTCAGTCATGTCCGACTCTTCATGACCCCATGGACCAGAGCACACTAGGTCCTCCTGTCTTCCACGGCCTCCCAGAATTGGGTCAAAGTCATGTTGGTCACTTCGATGACCCTGTCCAACCATCTCGTCCTCTGTCATCCCCTTCTCCTCTTGCCTTCACATTTTCTCAACATCAGGGTCTTTTCCAGGGAGTCTTCTCTTCTCGTGAGATGGCCAAAGGATTGGAGCCTCTGCTTCAGGATCTGTCCTTTCCAGCGAGCACTCAGGCTTGAAAACTATGAAAACGCACAGAATCCTTCAATACTCGCTCTGCTGGCCAGGATTTCTGGGAGTTGCTGTCCTAAAACATCTGGGGACACAAGGTGGGGCGCCACTGAACCAGATAAATAAACAGGCACTAGAATCCCTTTCTAAAACAAGGTGCATGATCTTGTTTCAGGGGAAGAGGGGATGACGAAGGGGAAACTGAAACACGAAGTGGACTTCCAGTCCCGTACAAAGAAGAGAGACCTCAGCTACTGAGCTACCCAGCCGTCCACAACAACAGCGCCGGCCCTCCTGAGTCACAAAGCCACCAGCGAGAACCGACCAAAAAAGGACGAGAAGGACCCAGCACAGCTTGCACCTCACCGTAGGTCTTTTCCACTTGACTCCGTAGGTTTTGGAGGAATTGGGACCCAGCTCTTTGAAACCCAGGGAAGAGGCCGAAGCCGGGAAGGTTTCGTCTCTGAAAAGAGTTCCGTTCCGCAAACATTCGTTCCGAAGTCTCTCAAAATCCTGTCCCAGGTACTTCACGGCGTTCTCGTGTTTCCCCAGCCCCAAATCTTTCGCTCGCTGTTTTTGGACCTGGGCGGAGACCCCCGTGCAGTAGACCGGCACAATTATTTCTTCGGACATCTTGGCCTTCGGGAAACTTTCCTGAAATAGACAGACAGGAGTAAAAACTAGAGAACGGAACGCCAATTTTACTTCTCCCCCCCCATGTGCAGGTATATTAAATCCCACATTCTCCCTTCCCCTCTGAACATGACGACATTTGAAACCGTCTTTAAAAAACCTATAAAATTCTTTGCCATGTAGCAAATCCAATAAATGCAAGTGTTCTGAAGCCTACATTCCTGTAAACGTTGAGGAGCGTGCTTTAAAATAAAGAGGTGGCCCAACCATCGCTCATAGGAATTTTAAGCCAGACCTTGAAAACTTTAGCAGTCAAAAGTTCTGGATTTGGATGAGCAAAGCTGTCAGCGTCAGCTTTTTCCCGCCTCCAAATGACTAAAAAAATCTAAAGTTCTTTCTGTCCCAAATTAGGAAGAAGTTTGCACATTCTTACCGAAAACATGAGACAAAACGTTCGCACATCCGTATTAAAAAAAAAGCAGTGGGATCCTTAACGGAGCGAGTATAAAGCAACTACCATAAAACAAATCAATTAAATAGTAAGGCAGAAGTGTTCAAAACTAAACGGGCTGTCCCTGCCGAGTTTGGAAGTAAAGATTTATGAGTAATGCAGTTAATTTCTTATCTTCTTATGTTTTTGGATAACAAAAAAGTCCCATTTGAAAGGCATAACACTTGAGGGTAAAAATCAGGGAAGAAAGTCCATTTACTGCTCTAAGAAGTAAACACTTCCTAGTGCTATTCAAGAATTACTTTTAAAAGCATTTTAAGGAAGTTTTAGTAGGGTTTCAAAGCATGTTTTCAACTTGTCTACAATTTTTTTTATCCATGTGGACCGCACTGTGTTTTCTTTCCCCCCCACACAATAAAAAATAGCAGAAAATCGCAGAAAATCAAAGAAAGTGACATCAAGGCTAAACTCCAGTAGTAAGTCGTAGAATCATGGAGTGGGACGGGGCCTCGGAGGTCATCGAGTCTGACCCCTTGCTCAAGGCAGGCGTCCACATCAAAGCAGATCTGACAGAGGGTGGTCCCGTTTTCTCTCGAAGGCCAGTGTTCGAGTGCTCACCACGTCCCGAGGTCACGGGGCCCACGCTAGTTGCAACTAGCGCAGGCCCATGGAATCAATGGGACTGACTCACTAAATTCCCACTGATTCAATGAGTTTACTCTCATTGCGGCTTACTAGGTACTATATTTCAGCCACTGTGTTAAATTTTTTTTCCCAATACTGTACTGAGTGACGGCTATGGATTACTTTTTGACAGCTCCCTCCGCGCTCGCAAAACGGGTGTTTTCGGGACCTAAGCTTCGCAAGACAGAGATTTAAACAGCTGACTGGCGGTTCGCAAAGCGGCTTTCCTATGGCCGATCTTCGCTAGACAACGACGATTCTTCCCCATTGGAACGCATTAAACAGGTTTCAATGCATTCAAATGGGAAAATGCTTTTTCGCTAGACGATGATTTCGCTAAACAGCTATTTCAGTGGAACGGATTATCATCGTCTAGCGAGGCACCCCTGTACTTTGAATTCCAGCCGGAAAACGGACTGGCAGCTTCAACTCCAGTGTTTGTACTGAAGATGGCTTTTTATTTGGAATAAGGACAACCCAAACTTGACTTCCTTTTCACGGGAAGACTGGGGTAGCTCAGCATGACAGATAATATTTTGTATTTGATTCCTGCCATTTCCCTGTAGTGCTGCAAAAGTTCTTTTGGCAGGAAAGCCCGGACAACGGCTGTGAGTCAGTTGTTATAGAGCCCGTGGATCATTCACATGCTCCGTTAGCCCTCTCTACCACCGTGCGATGTTCTTCCTGGCTCCCTCCTGGCCCTGTCTCCAATCATCTGGGTATGAGTAGAAGCTACAGGAATGCAGAAAAACATGCAGAATGGGATAGTGGGGATCAGATGTGAACTTCTCACCGACCTCCACTCGCTAGCTTGCTTTCCAACCCTCTTTCCCTTCCGTCTTCCTTACTCGCGAAGCACGCTTCTCAACCCGCGTGGCTGTGAAACATCTGGACGACACCCGGGTAGTCATACCAGGAGATAAGAGATAGGAAGAGGGTGGGAGAGTTTGAAATCATGCAAATCAAGGGAAATTCTTTGGTTTTAGGAGTTTAATTTGTATAGAAGCAGTAGACGACCGGAGTCTTCTTAAACAATGAAGACTGGGGACACGGACAGCCCCATGCTGAAATCCTGCAACAAGTTGCCACTAGAGGAAGCTCATTGAATGGAATGGAATTTACACGGGAGCTGACTCACCAAATCACCACCGATTCAGTGGCCTACTCTAGTTGACTTACTAACGGATGTTAGCCACCGAATTGAACTACAGCAGACCATCTTTTTTCCCATTCAGCTGAACATTAATCCAATTATGAAAATGCCAAATATCATGTAGTATTTAGAGATATTTACAGTGGTGTCTCGCTTGACGAGGATAATTCATTCCGTTGAAATCGCTGTTAAGCGAAATCCTTGTCAAGCAAAATGAAAAAGCCCACTGAAATGCATTGAAACCGGTTCAATGCATTCCAATGGGCTGAAAACTCACCGTCCAGTGAAGATCATCCATAGGGGCGGGCTTTTTTGGTGCCTGTAAAGCGGGGAATCCATCCTGAAAACACAGCAGGGAGCCATTTTGCACAGCGGGTGGCCATTTTAGAACCACCGACCCGCTGTTTCAGAATCATCGTTTAGTGGAAAATCGGTTCCCAAGCAGGGAACTGATCATCGTTAAGCGAATTTTCCCCATAGGAACATCGTTTTGCGATCACAAAAGCGATTGCAAAAACTTCATTGTCAGGCAGTTTTGTCATTTAACAAAGCAATCATTAAGCGAGGCACCACTGTATTCATATCTCAGACAGGCACCATAATCCCAGACAATGCATTCTAGGCACTCTGCTTAGCTGTCCTTAGAATATTCTCCATCTGAATCCCAAATATATCACAGCCAGCAGCTGCGTATACGTCGGCACGAGGATAACACCGTTTCCAATACTTCACCCTTGCAAAAATCCATCGGAGTCTTCTGATCCTGCTTCACTGAAAGCAGGGTGGCTAAAAATCAATGTTTTTTTTTTAAAAAAATCAAACTGATTTAAATCACAATTTAAATTTTAAAAATGTTTTTTTTTAATTTGACATCGTTAAAAAACCCAGAATTTTTTAAATTGTGATTTAAATCAACTTCATTTAACTGGGATTTGAGTTGTTAACTTGCTCCAAGTTTTAACTTGGCCTTGCAAAAATCCATCAGAGTCTCCTGGTCCTGCTTCACTGAAAGCAGGGTGGCTAAAAATCAACGATTTTTTTTTTAAAAAAAGTCAAACTAATTTAAATCACAATTTAAATTTTTTTAATGTTTTTTTTTTAATGACATCGTCAAAAAACCCAGAATTTTTTAAATGGTGATTTAAATCAACTTCATTTAACTGGGATTTGAGTTGTTAACTTGCTCCAAGTTTTAACTTGGTCAACTCGATTTAAATCCCATCCACCGCAGCGATTAAGCCAAGCCTGACCCAGGTCACTGATAAAGAGGGGTATTGTTAAAGAGTGGCAAGTATTCATTTAAAAAAAGAAACAAAAGTTACGCCTCTACTTCTTATAATTACTAGAAGAAAATTTTGTAATGTCATTGCCACACCAGATACATTCTCCTGCATGATATAAATCAGCGGTGTCCAACCTTGGGGCCTCCAGATGTTCTTGGACTACACCTCCCAGAAGCCTTCACCACCACCTCTGCTAGCCAGGATTTCTGGGAGTTGCAGTCCAAGAACATCTGGAGGGTCAAGGTTGGACACCACTGATATAAATGATTATGACAATTTTAATTCCTGGCCAGGGAGGCTATGTGGAAAGATGACAAACAGGATTCTTCCAGATGCTTGGGGCTATTTATGAGTAGAGAAAAGGGACTTAATCTTGGTGCAGCTTAGGCCCACTCAGGAGAAAACATCTGTCTCTTCTCCGGAGAGGTCAGACTGGCAGAACAGTCATAGAGTGTTTAACTGGAATTAACTCGGGAGAGGGAGGTTCTTAAATCATCCATGAAAGGCTTGCCATGGACGGAGTGGGAGAAGAGAAATTTGAAGTCTGAAAGAACAAAAAATGGCTCGGTTTTCAGCCTGTCTGGGAAAACCGGCTTGTCATTTGAAGAAAAATCAGCTAATGCTGATCTGGTAAGGCACCGGTACAGAGGGGGAGAAAATCAGAATACCCAAGCAAATTGAATCTAGGGATCTGCCCCACCAAGCCAGCCAGAATAATTAATTTTATTTAAAATATTCTCCCCTTCTTCTTTCTCCTTAATAAGGACCCAAAGCAGCTTACATCATTAAAAGACAACATTCACGCTAACCACTGGGAGTATACAAATACAGTGGTGCCTCGCACTGCACCATACTAAAACACAGAAGCAACCCAAAAACACATTCCATGCAGTAAGGGACAAAAATCCATTAAAAAAAAA